TGTTGCCGATATTTGCGGTAAGGGGTATGCGTCTGTCTCGGTTACTTCGTTAACTTTTCTAAAATCGATGCAGAAACGATGCTTTTCATCCTTCTTTTTTACTAACACAATCGGTGAGCTCCATGGGCTCTGCGATGGTTCGATTATTCCTGCTTCTTCCATTTCGTTAACTTCTCTATCAATAATACTCTGCATTGCTGGGTTCCTCGGCCTGTACCGTTGTTTAATCGGTTCTATTCCTGGTTTAACCCTGATTTTGTGCTGTATTAATTTTGTCGTACCGTGGATGTTTTCGAATTTCTTGAATTTGTTCTGTAGGAATTGTTCCAATTGTTGTGTTTCCCTGTATGTACGCGGTTGCATACCCTCTGATATAATGCATGTTCTCCTCTGGTCCTTGTAATGGCCTTTCTGCCTTATTTCCCTCGGTGGCGGTAATGTTATTCGGAGTTTTGCCCATAAGTCTACTCCAATGAGCATGGGGCTTTCAAGGTTTGGTATAACGTCAAACGTGTGCCAGTATCTTCTGTCCCCTATCGTAACTGGTACCTTTACCTTTCCTTGAATTTTTATACTTGTGCTATTCGCCAGCCGTATTGCTTTGTCTCTTTTCTGTGTCGGATGTTGCCACTTGTTTGCTAACATCGCGGTTCTCTGGCTTATGCATGAGATCTCGGATCCTGAGTCGATTAATGCATTAAGCGGTGTTTTGTATATTTTGATTCTTATGTGCGGGCGCGTGTGTATTTTATGTGCGGTGTCCTTGGGACCGAGGGTCGCCCTACTGCTCCTCGGTCCGCGCGGCGTTTCCCGGTCGTGGATGGCAGTCTTTTGTTAAAACTCCATCTCTTCCGCATTGGGAGCAAAATTTCTTCGCTGGTTGTCTGCAAAATCGTCTTGTATGCCCCCTTTGTTTGCAGCGCCAGCAACAATCTGCAGCGTTATATATTGCTGCCGTTACTGCCGTTTGCGGTGATGTGTGTGCGTTTGTGCGCATACTTTTCCTTTGACGCTGAATGTCCTCTATTTCTGCGGCTTGGGCCCCTAGTTCTCCTAATGTGTGTATATTCTCCCGCCTAATATGCAGCTTTAAGTCTGGCGACATGTTTTCGTATGTCTGCTCTATTTGATCTCTTCTTAAAAATCCGCCCGCTCTTCTCATGAGCGTCGCCAGTTCTGTGGCGTAATGCCTAAACGGTTCGTTTGCTTGTTGCAGTCGTTTCTGTACTTCCATTTTTAACTGGTTCTTGTATCTGTATGGGAAATAATGTTCCCGAAACGCGTTCGTGAAATCATTCCACTCTTTCCATGCTTTCTTGTTGTTCCTGTACCAATGCAAGGTACTTCCGCGCAGTAATTCCGGCAAGCCTTGCAACATTTGTTCGTCGGTTTATTCGTAACT